TAAATATTATGAGAACAAAATTGAGGATCTCGGCATCTGCAAGTCTATTCATAGGCGACCTTTAAAATCTCTTATCTAATCTGAGCTTCTATTTAATGCAGTTTTATAGTGTATCAGGAGGAAAGCTGGCCAACTTCAGTGAAACATTGTTTTCCTCCTGCAATTAGGCAAAGCATCTCTCCTTGCCTTATAATAAGGAAAAACAGAATTTGTCTCCCATCCTAAACTAGGCACATATTCTGATGGAGGTATGAGATACTGTTTGACCAAGTTTCAGGACTTATAAAAAATTAAACATCTTTAAGTACCAGGAAACCACTTTAAGCCAATCAATCTTCAGGCTTTCATAGTTGGTTTCCTATAATAGATAAGAAGTCTGGGCTCTAAAAATTTGCTTTAGGTGCATTACATCTGATTTATATCAAGTGAAAAGCCTGCATTTTATAGGACACTATAGTATTATTGTGATTTTAATCAATGGAGTGTGTGTGTATATTATATATATATGAAGCATCTGATACAGAGACATCATACATGTGTATGTATATATACATACACACACACACGTTCAATAAGCAGCCCAGTGCATTTATCTTTCATTACACTACAGTAGAAAACAAAACTTCTCAGGAAGCACTTTTTTTTTTTTTTTTTTTTTAATTTTCCTTGACTAATGAAACATTGTAAACTTTTTCTGGAAATTTTAATTTTCAGGTAATTTTCTTCATTGCAGAGACCACAAATTAAATTCCAGGTGAACATCTTTTGTAATTTTTAATATAATAATGAACATTTTTAAAGTATATTTCTTCACGGAATAACATTTTATGTATTCCCATAAATTTGAGAAAAGCAAAAGTTTTCTATTTTGCAAGTTGTTTTCTTCTTTTACATATAGGACCCAAAACTCTGAGAGCAAGAACGAAGAGAGAAACTACTATGTCTTAAAGAATTTTGTACATCTTTAAATAAATACATGAAAACTAAGAGAATGGTCATAGTTTGAAGGGATAATGTTATGGATAGTGGTTAAAGATGCCATATTGAATTCATGTTTCAGTACAGAGCAGTTTGGAGAACCATCCAACATCTGACCCTGGGATGTCCTGAGTCCCTAGGCTCTGACTCTTGCAAAAGCCACACATTTGTCCATGTGAAAATTCATCTCCCCATCTCTTATTTCAAAGTCAGCAAGGTAAAAGTTGCCAAGTCAGACTAACTCTTATCTATTCCCATTACCTTAAAAAAATCACTTTTTGCTTTATAATTCTTTATTACTGAGGCTTGCAATGGCTAGTTCTTAGAGACATTCCCCACCCCCCACCCCTACCCCCTGTGTATTTCTGCAGTTTGCTGAGGTGCCTGGTGATTAAAGGATGCAACCTGGATAGCTCCCTTTTCTTTTAGGATTTAATTTTCACTTCTCTTTCATTACAGATTTCAGAAGCTCTTCTTTTTCCACAAGATCTCATAATATCCCCCTTACAGAGGTTTTTAGAATTTTAGAGGAATAAAACAGACTATGGCACACTTGTATAGAAACTTTTGAGAAAAAATTGATTTTTAATTCTTTCACCATTTGCTTGTTTATCTACAAGTTATTTTTTCTTATTGAGTCACATTATATAATTCCTGTCTATAATTATGCAAAGGAGTATGTGTAAAATTAGAATAATTTTTTAAACTTCAAAAATTATTTACATTTGGCAATAGGATTGTTGGAATATCATTGTATTTTATGAAAAAGGACTGAGTTGTACACAGCTATTCTTAAAATTATGTAACCCTTTAATTTGGGTATTAACTAATGAAACAATGTATATAAGTGGATGGTTCAAATCTCTGCATTTCCTGTATAATTTTTGCTCTTTTCTAAAAATTGTTCTACTGGTTATTCTTGCTTATAAGGTGGAGATAGCTGAGTGGAAATAGACTAGACAAGATGAGATACATCTATGCCCACTTCATCATGTTAGCAATTGGTATCATTTTCTTATTTGAAAGGAAACTCATATGGATCTCATTAGAATTTAAAATAGTGATGCAATTTTCAAGACTGTTGTCTTGCTGTGAGGAAGATCTATTTTGCTACAGTACTCAAAGTGCATACATCTTTTTGCTTTGAAAACAATAATCTTAAAATACTTCAGACTCCTACTTTGCTTTTATTTTACTGCTTGTATAATAGGGGAAAAAGGAGAATATTCTTGCTAAGTCTTTTAATGTGTTCTTCTGTAGGACAAAAGAATGGAAACTTTCAGAGTGCTAATTAAAATAATCTTACTAAAAATACCTATAACCAAAACATAATAACAAAATAGCAAAATGACAAGTTAATTACAACAGTTTCAATTCTGCCACTTCTGTTGAAAGTAATATTACAAATTACAATAATTTTACTCAGAATATATATTATTTATTATCTTGCTATTTGTTTAGATGCTCTTTTAAAATTTGGGCTTTAGTCTTCATTGACTCTGCAGGATACATTAATTATATTAAGGGCAATAATACAAGATTTACAAAATTTCAACTTTCATGGAAAGTCTTTCAGATACTTGGTAAGAGCCATAGAAGTACTCATATTTTCTGTGATGTGAAGGGATACTTTTATTTCTTGAACAAGAGTGCTTGTTTACAGCATTAGAATTCATGATTTCTATCATGGGCACTTACCACATAGTAAATAATCTGTAATTTACATCCCACACAATCTTGGTGCAAAGCATTACTTTCTCTTATTATTTAGGGTGTTATCATCCCAGTATCTAAAATAATTTGTTAGTTGTGCCATGTATCTGTATATAAAGTAGCTGACCAATATACAAACTTATGAAATTGGTGGGGGTCACTCAGGTATTTCTTTTGTAACTTTTAAATTTTGGAAAAAATCACTGAAAACAAGACCAAGAAAAACAAAGAAGCCCCTCAGATCATTTGGAATTGTTTTTCCAACTGATGACCAGAATTAGCTTCCCCACTTTTGAGCCCCAAAGTTTACAGAAATAACTCCAACAACTGACCTGCTGAGGTTTACAAAGCTGTCTTCAAGAAAACACCAGGACTGATTGATTCCAATCCTGGCCAAGAGCTAAGCCTTCATTAGTATAGAAATGCCATTGAGATACAGTTTATTTGAAGGTCAAAGTTGATGGTTGGCCCAGAACACATTTTTCTTTGTGCCTAGGTTTTTAAAAAAGTTGCTTATATGAATAAGAAATCAATAATCCTGGTTCCAAAGAGTACACTTTTTCCTTTAAAAGAATTGCATCAAACATTTTATTCTTTCACAAAAGTTTGGTCCATATATATTTCCTTCCTTTTTGAGATATAAGTTTCTTTTTATACTTTAGTTACACAGGTAAATCTTAGTATATAAAATAACAGATATATTATAAATACATATCTGGGTAAATATTGTGCATTCTCTGTAGAGAATCTGAATGGTTATAGATGCAACCTTAGACTTCATAGATTTGGCAATAAGTTCTCTCACAGTGGACAGGCATTAGGATTTAGCCTTTCTAAACACTAAGGATGAAAAATAGAATTCCGTAGAATTCCTGAATGTTTTACTTAGTTGTTGAATCGAACATATAAGATCTAAGATGCATAAGCCATGCAAAGAACCAAATCCAGATGATAGATCTCCTTATTTGTAAAAGTATACAGTTTGCAGTACTCATTAATCACAGAAATATTTACAAGTTCAGTGTAAGAATTATATTGTAAACTGTTGGATATAATTCTTTTGATGATGGAAATAGTATTTCATATATAAGTGTGTAATCTATCAAAACAATATTCATATCAGCATTGAAATCATCATTATTACCCAAATGTAAGTTTATAATTATTCCTGTTATATGTGAAGAATAGAATGTGCATGACTTATTTGGTAGGAACTAGGGTTGAATTCATATTCAGAAAAGAGTGAGTAGTAATTGCTAGACACTAATTCCCTTTTTTAAAAACTTCATTTAAGACCATTATTCATTTTTGTTGTTCAGCATCCAAAAATTCAAAACAAGTGAAAATTAGGCCAGCACCATTTAGAAGCACATACTAACTTCCAAGAAAATGAATGAAAATATTATTTAGTTTCCCCAAATTAACCTCAACATTTAGCTACTAGCATTTTTGGAATAGCCTGTGAATTTTCCATAATATTTTTTCCTTGTTCTTCGGGACAGTGTTCTGTGTCAATAGTTGATGAAAATTGGTTTTGCAAGGAAACCATGTTCAAATAAGTTTATTTTGCTTCTGATTATTTTCATAGGATGATACTATTTGACCATGGGGGGAAAAAAGCTGAAATTTAGGAAAACCGGTGTTTGTTGCTTTTTTGCTTTTTTTAGTTGTGTGATCTCTAGTTCCAATAAACATAGACATTTGGGAATTAAGTGATTAATAGAATTTTTAATAATCATGTAGATTCTCTATGTAAAATAATTACTTTAATGCAGTGGAGGCTTCTTAGTTGATTACATCCTCTTCAGTGTGCAGCAATTTTGTCAAAACTTTGATTAGTGTCAGTTTTTCTGCATATTATTGAAATTATTCCCACCTTGAGTTTCTGAACAAAAGGGCATTCAGCTTCCCATTATTAAGAGGGGAAAAAAGGTAACTTCTATGAAGTTCTGCAGTTTAGATACCTGGAAGACGTATGGAAATTCTGATTCTCACAGGTAAAACCCATGCAATAATGTTTAAATGGCTTCAAGATTTTTCTGCCATTTTACCTTTACCATGTACTCTTTTTGAAAACTTGACAATGGAATTATACTTTTGCCAAACACGTAGAAGAAATCGGTCTGAGCTGTAATACAACAGACTTCAGACTGCCGATGTTTGTGTTTTCCTAGCTGCAGGTGCATGTTACAGCTTGCCATTGTGGTCATTGTGGTTCATTTCATTAAGCATCTTGTTCTATCTGCTTTTTTGAGACTTGGGAAACAGTATTTTTCTGAGTGATTGTACCGTATTGTTCCAAATATAAGGCCACCCAGAATAGAAGGCAACCTCCAACTAGAAACAGCTCAAATATGGAGAAAGGCTGGGGGCCCAGAGCCCGGCGGGTCTTGCAGTGGTGGCAAGGGTGCCGAGGAATAGGACGATGCCTGCCCACTCTCCCGGTGAGTGAAGATGAGTCAGCTGGCTGCATTTGCTTGTGCTTAACCAGATGGCTCTGCTGTTTGAAGAAAAGTTATCCATGGGGATAGAGAATGAGTCCAAACACATGGGAGAAGGTGGCTGTGTGTCTAAAACTGGGAGGGAGGATGGGAATAGTCTTTCGCCTCCTAAAAGAGTTGTCACCAGTGTTCTTCTTGGACCTGGAGACTAAAGTTGAGCAACCCCTAACAAGAACAACAAAGTTACCCTGCACCTTTTATGAAGAGAAATGCGAAAGATCCGGGGCTGTGAGAATGAGTGAACACCACCAGCCGTGTCTCATCTGCCCTGGAAATTATACCTTGTCCTTTGCCATTGACTACGGCTAAGAGGGATGCACTGTGTGTATTCCTGTGGAGCTTGAAAAACAAGCAACTCAAGCTGGGAATCACATTTCCAATTTGATTAAGATTTTCCACTTTTTAAATCTCCCGTCTCCTGAACCAGGCATGTACAATCTAAATAATTTCACTGAAATAAGCTCCCAGAGAATATTTAACATTATTTTGTGTACCGGCATTTCATTTAGTAGCATACTTAGAAAAAATAATTTGGTGAAAAAAATGTTAGCTGAGTGTACATACTGATTGAACCTCAGTAATTCTCCAAGGATTGGCTTTACTCTGTTAAGCACACAGAAAGCTAACCTTTTATTTTACAGTACCAAATAAAGGTAGAATGAGGGGCTTGACTATGTTATAACCTAGAAAACTATTGAGTACCCATTGGTACTAAATTTTACCAGATGTTTTATTACTTTCTGGTATCACAAGAATAACAGAAAATTTAAACCTTGATTACTAGTTCATGACTCTCAAAGCTAATTTGAGGTAAAATTTTGAAAGATGTTTTCCCCTACTAAATAACACTCACATCTTTGAAAGATTCTACTATAGCTTGATAGCCCTACCCCCTTTAATAAAAATGTTCATTTGGTTGTCTCTGAAGAGATATGATCAAACCAGCACTCCCCTTATTTTGAAACAAAGCTAACTGGCCCGGATAACTTGCTATTAGGATGCTATTAACATTGATTTTGAAAGATAGAGGCCCATACCCAAACAAGATCATGCTAGAATTGACATGCCTACCTTTTTTGCCAAATCTGGGAAGAAAGCCTTTGAAAAAGACTGGGCAGAGAGTGTTTGAAAGCAAGAATTGGAGAAAAAAGGATAGCCCAGAGTTAAAAATCAGGTTACCCATCACAAGAAAACCAGATTAGCAGAGGAAAAAATGGCACTGTGAGGTGAAGTGAACTCTGTATAATTTCCAGGAGTCTTTTCTGAAGAGTTCTGAAGGGTCGTACCACTAGGGGGAAGCAAACACAACGCCCAAGGACATGGGTTATTCAGGGAAGAGGAGCTTCCTTTGTACTCCATAGTTTTGGAATTATTTGCTCTTGACAGAGAAGTTGTCCTAAAATTTGGTGGTGGAGGTAGCGGGAGGGTATGTCTCTTAACCATTTTTAAACTTCAAATAGTTTCCCTTCTATGATGTGTATCAGGAATTATTATGTCTTATTTGATCTGAGTTACACAATACAGGAAAACAAATTTTATGATTTAACTTTCCATTGGCCTTTTATAATTGACTGACCTGTTTCATCAACTGCTTTTAGTTGAAGTTAGTAGCAATAGAAGGCAGAAGCTGGAGAAGTGACCCAAGTGTCATATTTCACTGCTTCCTCTACTTGTTGGCTAGTGGGGGTATAGGAAGACCTGACTAGATTGCCCAACTCTCAGGGAAATGAACATGGCCCTAGAAGGCTTGCAAGTAGGCAAAGGGATCCTTCAGGGACATAGGAAGACATGACGGCACCAAGGAGAGAAAATATTCCAAATTGCACAAATAGTGATCATTGTAAAAATCACTGGGTTGCTCATTTTTCTGTAAATAGCATTGGATGCATACAGCACACACTTGTACTGGTTGCTTTGCACACATTTCCCATCCCCAAAATGTACCCCAAAAGCTTACCTAGAGATGTTGCAATTTAATATCCCAAACCACCTTTTCTTTCCCTTCATGAATTCATATATGATACACCTTCAGGGACTCCTATTGAGGGGACTAGGTTGGTAAGATCAAACGGAACAGTGATTAATCTGTTAGACATGGCAAAATGGATACATTTGTTTAACAACACGTTTGGAAAATCCCCAAATTTCCATTCCTGCTCCTATATATATTTTTGAGAATAGATAACTGCTGCTCTCTGTTCCTTTACTAATCCATTAGTCTTTCTGCAAGCAATCTTTAATAAAAGGACTGACCTCTGGGAGAGATTCCCAGTTCATGTACAGATAGATGACTGTGGCTCACACAGGTCTAATTAATCATGCTCACTTCTGATTTCTCACCATTTGAGTTGAATCAGTAAACTATTTAATTTGTATCTATTTTGGTTTACATTTTTTAAAAAGCCTATAAAAATGAGAGAAATTCCTTGAAGAAAATGCTGAATTGCTCCAGTCTTTTTCAAAAATGCTCTGCTACAGGTCGTCCCTCAAAGAACAGTTCATAAGAGTTTCTTCAGTCCAAGAATGTGATGTGTCTATATCTACTGAGACACATGGAAGGTAGCACTTAACCTGCTGAATGAGCACATTGAACTTAGCCATGGAGTAATTCATGAATTCCCCTGCTCTTGAGAATCTTTAAGATTCAAATGTTATTCTTGAAATTTTGTTAATGGCCTTTCCTTGGGGGACATTGCTTTCTTTGATAAATCAGAGTTGACATCTGGACCTGTTGGATGTCTTTTAGTTTTCTTGCAGGTCAAACAGCAAGTAAACTCAAATTAGCAGGTTGATAGCATCTTGGGATAGCATAGGAAAAAAATGGCTAATTCTCATTTGGCAGTGAGATTGCATATTGAATGACATCTGTGTAGTTATAAACGACTTTTGTTTTAATAACAAAGTTGTTGATTTTCTACTAAGGGTTCTTTTAGGTTGTCATCAGGGGCTGATGGGAGTAACAGTTCACCCAACTCTCCAGCTAGCTTCAGTGGACATACCACACCTTCTCAGCAGCCTGAACCTGTGGTACATTCTCTTAAGGTAACCAACTGTGTGCAACCATTTATCCAGAACCTCAGTTGTGTTGTGGCTTGTTTGCTGTATTCTGGTTATCCTCACAGTCTTGCTTTAACCGTAGATACTTTATTTTTTTGATCCCTTATGCTATGACTTTTTAATCTTCATCTTTGAAGTATGATTTTAATTTTTTTAAACTAACAATGGGTTTGAGTACTTGTGGTTGGATCTCTATTTTTATCATTTTGTTTTGAGTAATGTGATTCATACCTATATGCATTGAAGTTGAAGTCTATGCATGCATATCCATATGTGTGAAATATTGTTATAGGTATGTGTGCAATGTTTGTAGCATGGATGTCTTCAGAAGTAGGGAGTTAATAGTTGGTCAAAATGAGGAAGGTACTCTATTTCACTTTATGCATTGAAGTACATTGTTCAACTTATAGTACAGAAATAGCAGCGTACTCTTCTGTGTAGAAATTAGGTCTTTAATACAGCATTAACTGGAATTTGAAGAGCATTAAAACACAGTTGTATGGTCTTATGTAAAGCTAATTTATTTTTGACTTTTACTTCAGATTCTGTGATGATACATTTTACCCCAAATTTTGTGAAGTCATTTATTTTTTTAACCAATAATCAATTTTACTTATTAGAAAATTCATTAACACAAACTAATAGGAATTATAGATACATTTGATTTCATACTATGGGACTGATAAATTGAAGCAAATCCTTGAAATTTTAAGATTTTCATTACCTAACAGGTATCCTTAATGTAGGTAGAATGCTTTAGTTCTGTTTTGTTACGTATGTTTTATAATTATTCTGAAAATTGTTTCAATTTTGGAATGATTAATCCTAAGACTGAAGATGCCCTCTTTTGGAGTGTGGCACCCTTTTCACAACCTGTGTAAAGCAGATGAGAAATGTTCAGTTCTTGTGGTGATTTAATTTTAGCAGAAGGCTTAGCGCTCTCCATATATTTTGCATTAGCTTATATGAGTGCGTTTTTCCAAACACACACTGATTTTTAATGAGGGAAGGTAGGAGAATCAGGCTGGTGGCCATTGGCAGTGCATTTTTTGTCTTGGCTAGAATAATTTACAAAGTGAGCAACTGAGAGGAATTCAAGGGACAGTACAGCCAGAATGAGGGGTTTTGGCTGACTGAACATTTTGCTCTCTGTAGTAGTATTTGGATGAACTTTAACATGAATCGGGCACTAGCCATCTGAAGAGCATTTCAGAAAAGGAAAATGGGCCAGAGATTCGTCAGTTTTGTAGCATTGTAGTGCCTAGACAAACTCCAAAAGCAGCACCTCGCCCTCTTAATCCAACTGTCTCAATCTGTTGCCTTGTTACAGGGCAAGGGCTCTTTGAATCTATTTGATCAGCATAGTGGGTCACGTTGAAATCTTCTAACTTTTCAATGCAGCTGTTAGTGTAGCCTCAAAGGAAAGGGAGGGCTTCTGAATTTTCTCTGAATTCATTCTCTAATTTTCATGTCAAATTTTAACTAAAGAGAAGATATTATGTATTAATCAGAGCATTTAAGTGTCCTTGGTTGGCAGATGGGTGATACTGAGCAACTGAAGCATCTTTATTGGATAACTACAGGCCCTTGAATACGAGATGTTTGGTTCTGAGTTAACTGTATTGTTTTTCAATACAGTTAACAGTGCAGACATTGTCTTTTGAAAATGCATCTTAAGAAGGTCTCTATTAAAAATTTGATTTATATCATGAAGTTTGTGTTCTAAAGGAATTATTAGAACAATGGCTCACTTTCTGATGGATTCTAAGGAAAACTCTGGGTTTAATAAATGACGATCATGTTTTGTAGGGGGAGTGTTGTATGAGAAATTAGCCCATTTATAATAAGACCATATTTCTTTGGCTTTCAAATTCATGATTGGCCTTCACTTCATTTAGTAGAAATTAACTGATTTGAAGTACATGTTTGTGAGGTGTATTACAAATCAAATGTGTAGGCAAATGAGCTGCTTGTTCAAGGTGATTTTAAAGTTTTCTATGAATATTCACTGAGCAAAGTCAATAATTTCCCTTAGGTATGTGAAGAATGTAATTTAAGAAGAAGCAAGTGTCAGGACTTTATGGAAATGGTATCTATATAGTAATGGCTAGGATTTTTTAATTAACAAGATGGCAGTTTAATCCTGTAAATACATCCAATTCATAAACTCTCTAATTAGTCTCAATATGGAGGAACTTGACATAAAGGTCCCTACTGTTCATTGTTGCAAATTGTCAGGAGGCAGTTTTAGATGTGGCCATCAGTATGGACCATGAAGACAATAGAGCCAGCTAGGTTAGCAGGAGCCTTTGGGAAAGTCATTAGCTCTGATTTAAAAGTCGATTGATAGGGAGAAGAACAACCAGAAGCACTCAAAGTTCTCTCCTTTTGGATTATAGAAAGTATCCATGTGAAAATTTTAGATATTATTAAATGAACATTGTTTTTAAACCAATTTAGGAGTAGAAAGATAGGCCTGTAAAATTGTTTAAAAACGCTTCAGCCCCAGACATTTCACTCTAATGTCAAATATTTTCATCCTAAGAAGCTAGTGTTTTTCTTTGTTACCATCAAAGAGCCATTTCCACTTTCTCTCTTGGGTACTAGGAATATGTTCAGGCAAGAACTGAGAGCACTAGTTATTATATGTATATTCTTTTTTAGTTGTCTTTTCTATATGCCATGTCTACATATCATTTGGACTGTTTGGCATATAATTACATTACTCACAACCACAATGGACCAAGAGGTATTGACTGTCTCCAAATAGTACACATTATTAGGTTATCTTAATGACCGAATTAAATTCACCAAATTGATTTAGACTTTAATGAATTCAGTTGACTATTAATGATAAAATGGGTTACTTTTAATGACCATTTGAAAATCAAGTTGATTTTATTCTAGATAGGTTTTGCCACATAGTATTCCGCTCTGATATGCAAACAGAGAAAACTAAAGGGTTTTTTATATATACACAAAATGGAGGTCTTTCATGGTTTTATCACAACTAACAATTTCCCATGTGAAATTTGCTTTTCTTTTTCAACAAATCCAGGTCTTGGATGTTCAGGAAACTATAGATCGTCAACAGGGTAAAGAGTATGAACATGACCTTAGTGAGACAGAAAAAGCTATAGTCAGAGAAATGTGCAATGTAAGTTTAATGTGCTTTATTGTGTATTCTGTGTTGAAAGCCTCATCATAGCTTAGTTATTGCTTTATGACTACTTTAAAAGTGCTGACCAAATGTCTTCACATTTTTATAATACAATTGCCTTTGTTTTTATCTTCAATGTTTTATTGCAGGTTTATTAAAAATAATCCTATTATAAAATATTCCCATCAGAGGGCTGGGGATGTAGCTCAGTGATAGAGCTCTGCCTACCATGTGCACAGCCCTGGGTTCAATCCCCAGCACTGCAAAAAATAAAAAATAAAAAAATTCAGAAATGATCTGCCAATTCTGTATTCCAGAATGATCTATGAACATTTTCTAAATATTTGTTGCCTAAATGGATTGTCACTTAAGACATTCTTTAAAGATCAGTGTTTAAAAATAGATAAGACATAACCTTCAGATTTATTTGTATCTATTCTTGAAAATAATGAACTTTTGGGTAATGTTTGCTTAGTTCTTCATGTCATGAAAAATATTGTCTTTACCTTTCACTAGTTGCCATGAACTCAGGGTATAGAAAGGCGAGACAGAAGAATAGGGAAGGTGATCCATGCGTCAAGAGAGGAGCACACAGAAAGCTCTTTTCATAAAGTATATCCATTGTAATTAACGTGGATTTTAATGGCTGACTAAATTTTTAAGAAAACATTTGTGAAACTTTAAAGAGCTAATTGAAATCTGATAGAGGAAGCCATTTGTTAAATTCAAGAAATCATGGTTAAGCACTGATCATATATTAAGCAACTAGTTGTAATTGGCTTTATAGTATACTTTTATCTTTCTATTCTTTTCTCCATTAGGATAGCAAACTTTCTTAGACCTGAAGCTAAAGGGTATTTCTGTTAGAATCAGATATTCTCAAACCTTTATTGACCTCCTTGAGATGTTTCTGGAATCCAGTAAATGTTAACACAGGTCCCATGGGCATTTTATAGGTGCTGTGGTGAGATTTTTTTAGCTCCTGCTTGCCGGTGTTGTGGCTGCTTTTTATTTTGCAACCTTTTCCAAGTTGTGTGTCTTTTTTTCTTGCATATCTGTTGTCCGTTTTTAATATAATTAGTTATAGATGCCGTAATTTCCTAAAATACCCATTTTTCACCTTCTGTAGCTTTAACTTGAATATTTTCCTTAGATAAAACATTGAGCTACATGCCTAAGAGTGCCTGTTACTTCTCATCTATTGACTATGTAATGAGAAATAAAGTTCAGACAATAGGAATTATAGAACTAGAAGGAACCTCAGTCATCCTCTTGTGATCTCCAAAGAGTATGGAGCTCCTGGGTAATCAGATAAAGATGGAGTTTCATCTAATCACCTCTATCCACAGGTGATTCGGATAAGAACTCCAACTTTCACATTTTATGTTTGAATGAACCAAGATCCATACATGAGATCTTGAATAATGAAGTCAGGAGTAGGCCCATATCTCCCCTAAGGACTAGTTCTTTCCCAAGTTCAGAAATCATGGAATTTCCTAAAGAACAAAAAGCACTAATATCTCAGTGCCAGGATTGTTTCTTGTACTCCCTTATTAATTTTCTCATGTCCAGAAATACTTTATATCTTTTGTCTGAGAAGAAAGCAACCACTGCATTGGTCTTAAAGAGCTTTGTGTTGATATTTTTGTTTGCCTGTATTTCCATAAATGCTTCAAATAGCATCATACAGTGCTGATGTTTTTCACTATGTAAGGTCCTTTCAAACAAACAAACAAACAAAAAAATCAAAAACTTACACTAAAGAACTTTTAACATAGAAAAGATACCTTCCTTGTTGTTTCCTAGAACTTGAGGGGAAAAAATACAATCCTAACCCTATATGATTCTTAAGCACCCATATTTGAACATGATTTAAAAGACAAGAAGTGTTAACTTAAAATATTTGTCACCATTATACCAATATACCATGAGAGAAACGCAGATTACAGGGAAGTTTCGTAGATAATTTCTCAACCTAGTAAGGATTATGAGGCCTTGGGCTCCTATTGGAGGAACTATATGCTTTTATAATAGCATGAAAACCAGTTTTGCATACGGTCAGTTGTAAGACTGCGGAAAAAGTTAGGATAAGGGGATTTGCCATTATTTCTGATATTCTTCCTGGAGATAAATCATTGCCTTCTGTATAGTGGAACCATGATGGGGGTTAGTAAGCATTTACTTGGTTATTCTCTTCCCAGAGATAATGTTTGTAGTAATGCTTTCGTTTTATTTGTCTGTTTAGCTTTTGTAAACTCACTGATGAAATACTTGACCAGGGATTTCAGTCGTGCTCTCAAATGCACATCAACTAATTTATTTTTTTCAGTTACCCAGTCACTACTCCTGTGTCCCCCTTAGGATCATTGGTTTAATTCAGACTTCTACCACTGTTTCCTTTCTCTACATCCTGTTTGGGTGAAGGCCCATTGTGCTTCAAATTTGGACAATTTATGAGGAGTTACACTTGAGAATGGCTAGCTGATGCTTTGCGTCTCTGATCCTTGTAAGGCCTTAAAGTTCCAATCCACACATTGTGGGAAGTAGACTTACATTGAGGGGCTAAAAAGGCAAAGTTCATAGTATCTTTTGGCTTGCTTCCCATTGTGCTATAATTCCTTTCCTAATATTCAAGGACCATAGCTGTATTCCCCTTGAGTACAACAGGACATTGCTGACAATAGTGTTATCTGCTGAAACATATACTAATAGTTCCATTGGCCTAGAAATGAAGATAGACCTTTGTTCTTAGTAATAAGTGAATGATATTGTGTTTCCCTGGAACATTCACCTACTTATAAAGCAATAGCATAATAACAAACAGTAACTAATGAAGAAACCAGTTTTATGTTCCTGTGAGAACATTGTCAATTTTTGTGGAATTAATCTGACATAATCCTCATAGTGAAAAACTCTAGGAAGGTTTTGGCTGTTGTGTGTGCATGCATGTGGGTCAGGATTACTCCAATTAATAAAATGACAGAATAGTGATGAATTGCATTGGTTTTTCCTTTACTTTTTTTTTTTGGGGGGGGGGGCTGCTGGGCATTGAACTCAGGGCCACTGCAGACAGGATCTCACTTAGTGCCTCACCATTGCTGAGGCTGGCTTTGAACTCACGATCCCCCCGGTCTCAGCCTCCCGAGATGCTGGAATTACAGGCGTGCTCCACCGCGTCTGGCTATATTTATTTTTGATCTCACTTTTGCAAACATCCCTCTAACGTGTCCCAAGTTTTAACAGGTTATAACTATGACTTTCAAAGATCTCTTCTCTGTTTGGATGTTTTGTTTTTAGAAATCTGAAAGAATTATTTAGTAGCTAAGATTTGTGACCACCAAGGCTCCTGCTTGTAGAGAGGTCCACTGAAATTTACTAATACCAGTTCAAGAACAAAAGCTCCTTCATTTTCCTAAGTGAATTAGACATTTCATGTATGCTTTAGGATGATCTTGCTAAAGGTTTCTTAATTCTGGCTATGCATCAGAATCACTTGGGGAGCTTTAAAAAACAAAACAGATGCCAGTGTTCACCTCCAGTGAGGTGAGAATTTCTGAAGGTGGGAGTTACTGTTGAAGAGTTCCCTAAGAGCTTAGCATACAGCCAGAGTTAAGGACCACTTGAGTAAATGGGCACCGTGTTCTTTAATTTTGACTGTGGTTGCTAGCAAGGTAGAACAGTCCTTGTGCTTCAGAAGCTCATCACATCTTGTGTTTGAACTCATTCGTGTGAATATGTTGTCTCTTGTCTCCGCATCCATCTTTGCCCCCCCTCAAAGTCCCACCTTAAGACCTACAAATCCCTGTGAAAGGACAAGGAAGACACTTACTCTCTACCTTTCTTTTTTAAGGTTGTGTGGAGGAAACTTGGAGATGCTGCAGGTTCGTGTCCTGGAATTAGGCAACATTTATCAGGAAACCAGTACAAAGGACCCATGTGAGAAGCCCTCTTTTTTTCAAACCTGAGATCACCACTGCCAGACAGAGATAAAGGAAGAGACGAGTGGATTTCCACAAACCTGGACTCATGGAATAATATGGAGTGATTGTACATTGCACATATCTCCCCTCTGAAACCCTCAGTACCACACTTCCCCCATCAAGCTGATATTCTGTGTCTCACTTTAGTGTTCATGACAAACAAGTTAGCTTTGGGAAAAAAGAGTCGCCATTTTGGTACCAATATTTTCACTAGAACAAAAGCATTTTTAACTCCCCAGAACTGAGAATGTAATTGGGAAAACTGCATGGTTGGAAAGAGTTTTGATAAGAGTTGACTCATAGCATACAATGGTGGGAACTTTCTACCAAGCTGTATTGGAGAGGTTTGCCAGCTACCCAAAGTTGAGAGTTGGGCACCTTCTTATACTTCCCTTGAGAAAAGTTCCTGATGCATCCTTTATTTGGATGCAAGTAGATTTGGTCTCTGGGGTTTTGATTTGAGTTGCTACGAAGACCACATCATTTCTCTTAGCCAGCTAGAAGGGTAGCAAGAGTTTGTAGAGTACCTATCATAGTACCACTTATCTTGATTGATCAAAAAATACCTTTTAATCTTGATGAGTTGCTCATAAAAGCACATTCTGGGGACGGACCAACCTCTATATTCATTCAGTATATCAATTTCAACTAAAAATAAATTTTTCTAAGTGTTTCGAGCTGTGAGATGTCAATTTCTACAATTTAGTTTCTAGACATGCTGTATATTTAATAAACTTTATGTAAACTTTACAAGATTGCACTGCATTTATGAAAGAAGCTTTCTTTGCCTACCGCAGCTATCTAGCATTTTCTGAAACTAACGCATGTCCTTCATTATTAAGGCTAAAAGCTCTTGTTCAGATTGCTTGAGGTTTGAAACAGGTGTGTTAGCTTTGCTTAGTTTATTTCCTATTTTTGGTATACATACATATAATATTAGAATGTGTGTATTGGAAATGCTACGATAGGTATTTGTGTTTATCTAAATGCAATGATAGTTTCTTGTATGAATGTGCAAGAGGCCTGTGACAGAATGCTACATTTTTACTGTAGTTCAAGATTACAAAAGTAGGGATGCAACAATTTTTAGGCATCTTCTAAATTATTCAGATTTGGTTCATAGCAAATATTCATTGTTTTAAAGTGGGCCCATTACACAGTGTATTAATGCTCAATGGTGAGAGAATGTAGAGGGATTTCATTATACTTTAAGGGTAACTGATGAAAAACAGCTCTTTAGTTTCAGAAATAATTCTATAATAAATTATTTTCTATCACATTCGGGTTTGTTTAAGCTGATTTCTTTTAAAATGTATTGAGTATTACTGCAGTAAGTTGGTTGCTATATTTACACCTTCTCTCATAGAAGTGCTTTTATCCTTAAATTGTTGTATTCCTACACTCGAAAATGTTTAAAACAAGTTTTTGTGCCTGCAGCTGAACCTGCAGAAGCTAATACAAGGGACGCTGGTCTTTTGCAAAATACTTGTGTAAATTTTGATACTGTATTAAAACTATTTTTTTAAAGTACCACATAAAATTGAGTATTAAGTATGTGTTCATCTTAGCAATGGTAATAAATTATTTAATCTCAGTGTTTTTTGTCTTACTCAAAATGTTGTTCCTTAATTTGAGTAGATGTCTTAATTATCTGTATTACCACCATCCCCTGGGAGTGTTAAGGTAATTATCTTAAATATAAAACAAAAGTCGTTTTTAAAATGTGCTTATAATGAGGTATTTAATATTCAGAGATTTCTTAATTTGCACCATTCACTATTATAATGTAGTTAAAATTTTAGAATGATCTTTAGAGATTTTTTTAAATTAGTTTGTGATAAAGCCGTCTTTTAATCCAGAAGGATTAAAATTAAACTTAATTTAGTTACCAAATTATTACAACATTAGTCATTCCCTTCTAGTATATTGCCTAAAGAAATAGTAAAACTATTTAAGAAGCTTACACACCATTGGAAAAATATACACATGACCTATACATAAATGGGAGAATACACATACTACTTGGAAATCAGAAATAACATGGTGGAATAAGACTCCCTTATTAGCCCCAACTTTAAATGACATAGTATATCAATCAAAATGAGTGGCACTCTTATGTGATCATTTTACAAGTTTATGATCTGATCTTCCCTGGGACAAAGGTTAATTTCCATATCATGGCAGAATATTTTTACCAGTCTAAAAGCTGAGAGACTGACAATCAGAATCTAGCTTTTAATGAATGCCTTTCACATTTTTAGCACATGCTTAAGGCACTGTAGAAAATGCAGATTATCTTATGTGACACTCAGTAAAATACTGACAGTTTAATTGGGATGATTGTTCTTAGTTCAATGAACACTTAATGAATGCATACCACTGCCATATGTGTCAACACAGCTTTGGTCCCCAATTCATGGTGCTCGTTGCTCAAGACACACATGAAGAATACTATCTTAGATCTAGTGAAAGCTTCCTTGAAATCCAGATAGTTTTCTTGATCTGAGGAAGCAGTAAACCTAATGTTTGAAGCAATCCTAATTATTTCCCCGAATTACCAGAATTTGCACTCTGCCATAAGCTTCCTCCTCCCTCTACCTCAGGGACAAACTCTTTTCCATGAGAAACTTTTGTAGCCATTCCTGGAAAGAGCGGCCTGCCTTACTCTGCCTTGTCAAGGTGAATTCCTAGCAGGCTCAAGGCACCTCTGAGGAATGCATATGTTGGCTACTAAAAAGTAAAATCTTCTCCATTCTGTTTCAACTAATTTTGCTGACTTTAAAGACAGCCATTATTGACCATCTTTTGACTGCAAAAACCAATACAGTTCAACCTGGTGAGATTTTGTTTTGGGCATGAGAATTTGAGAAAATACAATAGAAGTTATAGAAGAGAATCATCACGTTGAAATGGAGCCATAGTAAAGTATGCTGACTTATGCTGAATCAATAATATTTGACTTTAGACAGGCAGATGTCTGCAAGCTCAACATTTGACTCTAGCAGAGTTTGATTGGCTTCACTGAGCCTCAGTTTCCTCATGTGACAAATGAAGGTAACATCTACGTTGCCGAGTTGTAAGGTTCCTCCTTAAGACTAAGACCATTGAATTTCAGAGTTAACAGTGCCTGAGGAATCATAGCAAGTCCACCAAAACATAAGAGTCAAGACCCTTCGGTGGTGGTAATTTATACCACTTGTTCAGAATGGGTAGGTAAGGAGGGGGTGTAGAGAAATCAATGTTGAAGGGACAATCTACTGCCACATAAACATTCTAGCTGTACAGTTGCATATCAAATTTTTTATACATAACAAGGCCCATGGTAGGCTGAATTATGACCCATTACGGATGGAGTAAAAATATACATTGGCCTTATTCTCATATATAAGCAGTATGTTTTAAAAAAAACAATTTCCACTACTAGCTAATTCTGTATTTTACGTATCACTGGGAAACATTAGATTTTTTACTTCAAAATGGCAGAATGAGTACCTGCTACAACATCCCTCTTCTTGCCTCAAGCCTTGAAAATGACTTAAAAGATGTTTTCATCAATCCATGATTACACTAGACCATGACAAACAGTGTACTGCCTGGGCCAGTGATTATAATGCATTCTTGAAAGATAGACAAATGGAGCAGAGTGAAGAACAAACCCATAGTTCAAGATACATGAAAGAAGGTACTGTTGAAAAAGACAGCTGCAAGGGTGCTCCAAACAAGGAAGTTTGATCCGTGTGTCCTGGGATCCTGAAGTGACTGTCAATAGCTGGGCATTTTTTGGGGGGTGGGGGGGACCTGGGGATTGAACTCAGGGGCGTTCTACCACCGAGCCCCATCCACAGACCTATTTTGTATTTTATTTAGAAATAGGATCTTACTGAATTGCTTAGTGCCTCACTTTTGCTAAGGCTGGCTTTGAACTCGTGATTCTCCTGCCTCAGCCTCCCAAGCTGCTGGTACTACAGGAGTGCAACACCATGCCTGGTTTAGCTGGGCATTTTGACTTCTGCATACAACCACTCTGTGCTTGGGTAACACAGAGCAATAGAGATGATTTCTTCCAGACTGGAACAGAGAGCGAGGTATTTGAATTGGAGAAAGGAGAAAAAGATTCTCTATATTCAAATTATTAGCAATGAGCACAGCCACCTAGAAGTTTCTCCCACTATCTCCTTCACACTTAAAGAGGCCTAACAGGAGTTGAGGTTGTGGCTCAGCAGTAGAGCGTACGCATACCATGGGTGGGACCCTGGTTTGATCCTTAGCATCACAAAAAAATAAAGGTATATGTCCAACTACAACTAAATAAATATTTTAAAAAATAGGCCTAACAGCCTGCCCCACTTCTCCAATGTGAAAATTATAGAATAAATATAACAGGCTAATATGGAAATTTTAGTACAAAAATCTGTATACAATCAAGAATCACCCAACATTAGTGGGAAGCCACAATTATGGATCAGAAACACAAAACTCAGCAAAGAAAAGAATGTACCAAGGGGAAAAAATAAGAACTTCAGAAGTATAGCTAATAATCTCAATAAAGATGCAAATATCACCTTATTAAAAAGGCTTAATTTTGAGATTCAAGGTGGCTGAAAAGAAATGCCCAACACTTACTACCTCCTCCAAAAGGAGGAACCAAAGTAGCAGATCTATAGCTACATTTTGAGGGGAGTGACCATAGGAGAACACTGGAAATCAGAGGCTGAAACTTAAGACTCAGAGATCTTGGACAATAGCTTAGTAAAAGGAACAAAAATCCCCTGCTGTCTGCACCATGGCTGCACCGTTGGGAGAGGGAGTCTCCCCTTTGCAGGAATAAGGATGAAAGAATTCAAGCAAACTCTTGTCAGTGCAGGTGCTGTCAGTCCTTGCTTCTGGAAAGTTTCACAATCCTTATAAGCTCTCAGTCAATTTAGATAAGTAATCATCATCTGCACAATAGCATTGCTTT